GGGCGCTTGCTTCAGTCCATACAATGCCTTCTTCAGCTTGTAGACTTTGTCTTCTTGATTCTTCACCTCGTACCCTGGTGGTTGCTTGATGTAGACTTCTTCTTCTAAGTAGCCGTTCAGGAATGCAGACTTCACGTCCATCTGGTAGATCTTCCACCGGTTCTGTGCTGCCAATGCGATAATGAGTCGGATGGTGTCGATCCTCGCGACTGGTGCGAACACTTCTTCATAGTCAACTCCTTCTCGCTGACTATAGCCTTTTGCAACAAGCCTGGCCTTGTACTTCTCGATTCCGCCATCTTGATTTGTCTTTGTCTTGTACACCCACTTTACTCCGATTGGTTTATGGCCTTCAGGTAAGGTAGTGAGCTCCCATGTGTCATTTCTCTTGATTGCCTCGATCTCGTCATCCATGGCTTTTCTCCACTTATCTTCTTGAGCAGCTTCTTCATAGCTGACCGGATCACATTCTGCAAACAAGCAGAATAGTGTGTAGTCATCCATCATCTCGACAGGCTCTGTATCGTCGTACAGATCTCTTAGGCTTCTCATCCTCCTTGTTGCTCCCCCTGAAGAGCTTCCTTCACTTGAGCTGGATGATGTCGGCGTTGATGTTGGGGTTGATGGAGCTGGACTATTAGGTGGACTTTGTTCTGGTCTTCCAACCTCCTGCAAGTCATCATCATTATCTTCAAAGAACATACCTTTAATATTTTTATCTTCATCGGTCCATTTCCAATAATCTTCTTCATCGAACTCCACGTCTCTTGAAATGATCATCTTCTTTGTAACTGGATTGTAGAGCTTGTATGCTTTTGTCCTCCTCTCGTACCCAACGAATATGCACTTTTCTCCTCGATCGTCCAACTTCTTTCTTTTCTGCTCCGGGATGTGTGCATATGCAATACACCCAAACACCTTCAGGTGGTTGACACTTGGCTTGATGTTGCTCCACATCTCCAATGGTGTCTTGAACTTGACGCTCTTTGTCGGACATCTGTTGAGGAGGTAAACTGCACAGTCCACGGCTTCAGCCCAGTAAGTCTTTGGCAGGTACTTGCTCTTCAACATGCTTCTGACCATATCAAGAATGGTACGATTCTTCCGCTCTGCTATGCCATTCTGCTGTGGTGTGTAGGCGGCAGTGAGTTGATGAATTATCCCGTACTGCTTGTTGAAATTGTTGAATGCCTTCGAAGTGTATTCTCCACCTCGATCTGATCGGAGCACTTTGATGTGGTACCCACTTTGCTTTTCTACCATCTCCTTGAATTCTTTGAATTTCTCCAGAGCTTCGGATTTCTCCTTCAGGAAATAAACCCAAGTTTTTCTGCTATAATCATCAATAAATGTGAGAAAATACCTGTTTCCTCCAAGAGAGATGACTTCAAATGGTCCTGCAATATCTGTGTGGACCAATTGTAGCAACTCTGTTGCTCTTCTTGACTTTCCAACTTCGAAACTTCTTCTATGTTGTTTGCCCTTCATACAGCCTTCACATAGCTGGTTCGGATGGTTGATTTGCGGCAATCCTTTTACCATTTTCTCCTTCCATAGAAGATTCAGGCCACTGAAAGCGAGATGCCCGAATCGTAGATGCCAGAGCCAAGTCTCGTCTTTTATGATTGACTTCAAGCACTTGACAGGGTCAGCATGAATATTTAAGGTAAACAGTCTATTTCTAGACATGTTCACCTTTGCAATAACTTCATTTTTATTTTTAATAGTGAGGGCAAGGTCTTTTAGATGTATATCATAGCCTCTTTCAAGGAGCTGGCCTAGGCTCAAAATATTATTTCGTAATGCTGGAACATAGTAGACATCAGAGATGTACCTGTTCTCGCCCGTCTTTGTCTGGATCATTATATTTCCCTTGCCTTTTACTGGAATCTTTGACTGATCTCCAAAAGTGACATCTCCTTGTACCATCTCGTTCAGCTCGGTAAAGAACTCCTTGATGCCGCACATGTGGTTACTGGCACCTGAATCTAGATACCAGATATCTTTATTCTTGCTTTCGCTCTCCTGGTACGTCAACAGGACTGTTGAAGTGTCTGCCTGCTCCCTTTCTACAAAGTTGCTTCTTTCTGCCACTTGATTTGATTTCTCCCAACATTCGTAGCTGAGATGACCGTATCTCTTACATTTGTAACACTGTGGCTGAGATCTGTCCTCATGGTAACTTCTTCCTTGTCCTCGTCCTCGTGTGCCACGACCTCGTCCTCGATCGAATGATCGTTCACGATCTCTATTTCGATCTTGATTTTCATGGCCTCCTTGGTACTGTCTCCTACGACCTTGCTGGAAGTTTGAGCCACCTCGAAATGAGCCTCTGCCTCTGTAGCCTCCACGTCCTCTTCGACTATCTTCTTTGATAGTCATCTTACTCTGCAAGGCTTGTTCTAGATTCTCCGCTTGATTTGAACTAATGTTTATATCTTGTTCATAAGCTTGCAGAGAACCTTGCAGCTCATCAATAGATACTTCGGAAAGATCTTTAGACTCTTGTATTGCCGGAATAATATATTTGAATTTAGAGTCTAAAGTCCTAAGTATCTTCTCCATAATTCTTACATCATTAATTGCTTCTCCATTTCTCTTCATTTGATTTGTTATTGTCTGAACTCTACTAAAATAATCCGATATTGATTCTGTAGCTTTCATCTTCAAATTTTCAAATTCAACTCTTAATGCTTGGAGGCGTACCTTTTTGGCTCTTTCCGCACCTTGATAGGATTTTTGTAAAATCTCCCATGCTTCTTTAGAGGACAGGGCATTGGAAATCTTCTCAAACGCAGATTCATCTACGCCTTGGAATATTAGGAACAAAGCTTTTTTGTCTCTTTTTCTGACCTCCTTCAGCTCACTCTTCTGTGTGGCGGTGAGAGTTGCTTCTGCTGCAAGTGACTCTGGTTCAGTGTAGCCATTCTCCACGAGCTCCCACAAGTCTTGCGAGCCGAGCAAGACTTTCATCTGGATACTCCAGTTGTCGTAATTGGTCTTCATCAGCTTCGGAATCTGTGGTTGGATCATGTTCGCCATCTCGTACACGAGCACCTTCGATTGGCCCGGCTAGATCGAACTTAGCTCTGATACCACTTTGATGGAATTTGAAGAACACAACACTCTACACAAAGGAAACTTTTATTGATAGAACACTTGAGAATACAACACTTGTTCTTACAAGAACACCTCACTTTCACACAATTCCTTTATTTTGGTGGACACTCACACAAGGCTACACTACACACTCAAGCTTTCAAGCTTACTTCTTGCTTGCTTGCATGCTTGCTTTCCCAAATGAGAGCACAAGACCCCTATTTATAGTTGTTTAAGAGGGCTAGGAAGTGTGTAGAAGAGTTAATCCTAGCCATACATTACTAAGAAGTTTCTAGAAGAATAAATACTAGCCATACACTTGTATCTTCCTAGAAACTTCATGGTAGATATTTTGTAGGATGTTACTAGAAAGAAGTTCTAAAAAGTTGTTCTAGAATAATCTAAGTTGGTGAGGAATTCTAATATTTATGGCTTGAATTAATGGATGAGTGAACGAGTCCATGAACATCATATCACAGCTTGATCCTCTCATGTATCATTCATTCACCATAAAGGCATGCCAGCGTATATATTGCCTAATTAAGGAGATTTTTTTTTACCTCCAACGTACAATGTATATTTATGTTTTTGTCTGATATGTGAAAGGATGTTGGCCATGGGAGAAGTCTACGTCGGCTACGGGCCGAGGCGGAGGCTGCGGTGGAGGAGGTGGCTGCCACGGGCGCGAGGAGACGGAGGCGGCATTGTCTATGGCGTGGCATTTGGCCGAGCGGCGGCTCGCGAGCCGCGTTGCGCGGAGGTCGTGGCCAATGACAAGGTTAACCTCCAACAAAACAAGAAATACAATTGAAATGTCGAAGATTATCCCGTCTACAATAACCACCTTAAGATCTGACGTTCTGCTACCCGTCCAATTACCGAGCATAACTGTAGTTACAAAAACTAAAAAAGCGTACAGCAACACCCGCAGTGTCTTTAGCCTCCACATCAACAGTTGGGAACTTTGATTAAAAATAAAAGAAAATTCTATAAGAAAAAATATAGACTTGAAAATAAAAACAAATCTAAAAAGAAAAATAAACAATATTGTCATTGGCCCCGGCGCCTCCGCCACCGTTCTGGGCCGAGGCGGCTGTGCGGGCCGCGGTGGCGCCGAGGTCATTTGACAATGTTATTTGTTTTTCTTTTTAAATTTGTTTTTTCTTTCAAGATTATATTTTTTCTTATAGTATTTTTTTTGTTTTTAATCAAACGGGAACTGTTGATGCAGAGGCTAAAGACACTGCGCGTGTTGCTTTACGCTTTTTAGTTTTTGTAACTGCAGTTATGCTCGGTAACTGGACGGGTAGCAGAATGCCAGATCTTAAGGTGGTTATTGCAGACAAGATCATCTTTCGCATTTTTATTGTATTTCTTGTTTTGTTGGAGCTTTTTAAATTCCGGATGGGTGTAATGACCTGCTTTACTGTTCAATGTATTGGCTCTTTCCTTTTGACTAGCTATATAATCCTGCATTTTCTGTATATTTACCGATTTCCACTCTAGTGACATCTTTAATGAAGGCTGATGTTCATGATTATGGAATTTGCTTTAGAGAACTCCTGGGAAGGTTCTTGTTTGCTGAAGAGACTTGTAGGTTCCTTTATACTAGAGTATTTGATGCCTCTAGTTCCCTGTTCCTTCATACTAGTCTTTGATGTTTCTAGTTCTCTGTAGATGTGAATGTATCATAGATTTAGAAAGTTGAAGTTTCTCATGAATCAGGATCAAGAGAATATACATGGAATTGAGCATGATATACTTAAATCATCAAAGGAATGAATTATATGGAATGTATTGTTATCCCATGTCATACATGAATCATGGTAACTAATAATTCGATCTACGATCGCTAACATATACCATATTGCACATGAAACCCGGAGCCTAACAATCCAATCTACAACAACTAAAAAAATGTTCACTTAAGTAAAAAATATGGAATAATTCCTATAGCGAAATATGAAATAATGTAAAGGGTGAAATCATGTACAAAATATTCTACTGCTGCCAATGTCTCTTCTATCAATAATACTCTCACGAAAATTACGAATTCCCTCACAAAAAATAGTGATCCTCTCACAAAAAGCCATGATTAAGACAGTAGAATCTGAATCAAGCTCTTGAGTTCATGCACTCTACCATAATTTGCACCCTGCACATCATAATAAGCAGCTGTATATGAGCAAAATTAATGACAAATTGTTTTAACTTTTAAGAACTACATGTGTAATTCGTTTCACCAATCAACAAAACTGCAATGGTATGAATAACTGGAAATAGAACCACATTTATAATTTATTATTGCACCTAGCTCGGTTATAAATTGTAAGCAATATCAATGACAACTGAAACTTTTGCGGACATTTGAAGACTCATGTTTAGTTAATTCTTCACCTATAGGCTATTATATTTACATTTTATCTGTTAAACATGAGTACATGTTAAACACGAGTACAAAGTTCACTAGCCTTCCTTGGACTTTATTCGGCATGCAATTTTTTTTTTTGCAGATGTTGTCATATAGTTAATATACTCGCTAATCTATACATTATATACCAATTATTATGTTTTCCCCCTACAAATGCCAATTATTAAGATCTTTTTTCATGACCAAGTAATCCACAAGATCCAACATTTTTATTTTGCAAGCAGTTCTTTGCCGATGTAATCATATACTTAAACAGTTTTTATTTTACAAGGCGTATTATAGAAACTTTTTTTTTTCTTTTGTGCATGCTGGATCTGATCACGACAAAAAATAATCCACATCGTTCCAGAAGTTCTGGAACAGAACTTGGTAAAGTACTGACATCTGGGACTTTATTATTATTATTAATCATTATTATATTTTTATTTTGGGAAAATTGTTTCCAGCCCCCAAAACAACCCAAAACATGCTCTGCCCCCCCAAGACCTTTTCAACTTTTCAACGTTCCTTTTTACCCCAAAACCATCTCTCTCTCC